TTTTGAGCTCGAAATGTAAACGAGCCGAACACGAGCTGAGCATGGCTCGCTCGTTTACACCCCTATCTGTTGTTGTCTCCACTGTTGTCTGGAGATGAATCTTCACTCGACCATGTCGTCGTCTCGTACCGAAAAAAGGATAAAGAAAAGAGAAAAACATGCCTCGAATGACCTATCCTAGGGTGTTATACAAACATGTTAGGAAAACAATATTTATAAGTATGAGTACAAATGAATGTCTATAATACAATACAATAAAGGAAAGGAATAACTGTGTAGTAAAGTACCGTAACAGGAAAAAACTGAAAGAAAACTATGAAAGTAAAGCAATATAAAGAAAAGAAAGACTCTACAATAAAGAAAGAAATATGCAATAAAGAAACAAAAACTGAAACAACTAAATATGTACCTGGTTAATTCTGGTGAAACTACAAAACATATTACAATAGCATGATATAAAGGGATTAGATAAATCATTTGCAAATTATAAAAGAAAAGTTAAATGATAAACATATGAAAATTTAATGTAGAATATATGATTTTAATTTGGGGTTAGGCTCAGATGAAACTTCTTTTTTTTTGTTTTCTCTCGATCTCCCAGGCCACTGATATATCGAAGTCAACCTATCAATATCAACTTGAGGTCACCAACGATTCACCCCTATAATCGGGCAGCCCTAGACCCTGTCATTTAACAGATGTATAAATCTAAATAGTATCTGGACTTACCTTGATAAAGATATAATATACCCATGTGAGATAGTATCTGAACTTATCAGGGTGTGATGCACCTATATATGATGTTAGGATAAATGACATATAATATCTGAACTTATTAATCAACAATATATAGTGCGTCGATGTGTAATAGGTGGTATTTATTATGTAGTATTTGAACTTTCAAGGAAATGTAATATCTATTCTTGTAGTATCTGTCGTGTAGGATGTGATATGTATATGTGATGTGTTACAAATGTAGTATCTGTTGTGTAGGGTGTCATGTGTAGTATCTATTGTGTAATGTCTGTTGTGTATCGTGGTATTTATCATTTTGTGGATATAGTATCTATTCTTTTTGCAAGTGTAATATCTGTGTAGTGTTTATTGTGTATCTGTTCTTTTCGAACTACCAATTCTCAAGCCTTTTGAGGAAGGGTCAGGACTACTGACGACTTAAGGGAGTGAAAGGGCATCTCACTAATTGAATATCGATTTCATGTTTTCAGCTATAAGAAGAGCTGATTAATGGTTCTTTTAATGGTTCTTTGCATCATTCTTTGCATCATTGTCTATTACCCCGCACCTTGAACTTATAGGCCACTCTGATATTCCATATGCTTATCTAATGGTCTTTGAATGTTTTGTATAATTAGATTGCAAGGGACGAATTTCTAAAAGGTTCATAAAATTAATCCTTTATTTTTGAATTTAACGCTGAGCTATAGTTATCTGTATATAACTGTTTCATGCCACACCTCAACACCTTTAACTTCCTTAAATGTCAATCCAAAT